AAGAACTTAAAAAAACAAAAACAACCCCCCCCCCCAAGAAAATAAGGAAGCCCCCTATTAATTTTTATCCGGCGTATGAGTTTCCCGGCGGTTCGCAGCTGCCCGGCCGTGCCCGCGGTCCCCGTTCCTCTGATGTGCCCTGTGATGTTCCTCGCTCTGCCCTGTGCCCTTCGCTCTCTGCACTCGGCAGAGGTTTTCAGGCCGCTCTCAATAACTAAAGGCCTCTTCCTTCGGTAACATTTCTTCCTTCGGTAACGTTTCTTTAAGGCTGAAAGAAAGGGCTTGGGGTTTTTCTTCCGAATTTTTGGGTAGTACTCGCAAATCAGCGCGAAACGCTCTGCGGTATAATTCGAGCGTTCAGTGGCAAGATTATTTAAAAAAAAAAAAAAGAAAGAAAAAAGTGAAAGTTGCCGTGCCAGAGTTGCAATTGTGTAATAACTTTGCACCATGTAAAGGTTATGAAACAGCATCAAGCATTGAGTCAGAGCAGCTCAGTAAAAGAGACTTTTACTGTGTTAGTACAAGGTGGGAGCAGGAAATGCATCACAGGGGTCACAACAGCAAAAGGGTGCAGTCTGTGTGTGAAGCATTTGAGACTTAGCAGTGGTGATGCATTTTACCCCGTCAGAATACCTGGCAAGCTGAAAAGAGTCAGGCCTAGGCAGCACTTAAACCAGAAATATCCAGGAGAAACTTAATTTTTTTGTTAAGAGAAGGTGTGGATGATGAAGAACCTACAGCAGGACGTTTGGTGGCTGTTTGGAATGAAGGGGTGTTTTGTCTGCATGCAGAGGGTTTCATGCAAACAGACATAGGGAAAATTAGAAGAGATTGAGCAGCAAATGGCAAATTATTGCCTGGGAAGCTTTTGTTCCAGTATACATTTCAGTTCCCTGTATGTAAACCTTCAGTAAATCATAGATTTATTTGCACAACTTGTGCTCTGCCACTTTAAAAGAAGTGTGACCTGGGCAGTGAGATTTTCTGTTTCTATCCCTACACCTTGCATTATATTCTTAAATAAACACCATTGTTTTCAATTAGAAACACTTATTATAAACATATATTGTACACTTGTTAGATATATTATATAACATTTATTGTTTGAAGTGTCACTGTTACTTGGGATTATGTAGCAAAGAAAAGGCTACTTTTTCTGTGGTAGCTGTTTTCTGTGTCACAAACTGTGACATAACTTTGGTTTTAGTCTTGCAGTTTCCCAGGACTTAAAGCCCCAACACACACACATAGTTTATCAATATAAATTAAGCGAGTTGAACTAGTGGATTTTTTCCCCTTTGTTTCTCCTTTTACTCTTTGTAGCTGGAATCAGCTTTGGGCAAGTGAGATGTTTTGAATACCTAGAAAAATTATTGCAACATGTATGTAAAAGCAGCCTCCACTGGACTGCTGAACCTGCCTGAAGTCACAGAAAACGGGCAGGATGATGGAGAATATGTTGCAGAGCAGAGATAAGAAGTGGAAACAGAAATAAGCAAGTTAAGAGCGTGTGAGAAGAAAATATTTCCAACTGTGATGGTTCTTTCAGACAGTACCTGCTGGGTACACTGCAGATACCATCTACAGACATCCAGGTTTCCTCAGGATGGAAATCAGGGTGCAAGAATATTGTGCAACTCGCCCTGAAGTGAAGCTGGGATAGGATTGGGAAAGTAGTTATTATTTCTAGGTTGTGTAATCCTGATGCAGCTCAGAGGGGCTGTGTTAGCAAGTCTGTGGTGTGTAATTTATCACCAAGTCGTTTCAGAGTATCAGCAATACACTAAAAGGAACTAAAAAGGCTGAGGGACCTCTGTGGCTACATTACTTTCAAAAAATGTACTGGGTGTTCTATGAACCTCTCACACTGCACAGGTCACCAAATAAATGCCTTAGCACTGACAGAATGCTCTCCACTGCATCCTTGTCTTTTACTTTCTCCCTTGCTAAAGACTCACATGAAGTAACCAGAGAGAGACAAGACACAGCTTCTTCCAAAACCAGCTAGTGTGTTCCCTGAATTAACTACTGCTTTTTGTGGGGAACTGATAGTAGTAGTTAATCTCTTGGGAAATATAATTAATCAGTAGTAATAGTGGTCAAAAGACTGGGACACCAACATTCAAGTCAAGCCAGCAGGTCCAGTCTCTTCACTTGAATTTCCTCCCCTTTGCTGTTCACCAGTGGCTTCACTTTTCTTGTTGCTTTGCTTTGTGCCTTCCCTGTTTCTATTTGCCTGCCTGGTTTCCTTTCTCCCATCACTTAAGGATTATTACAGTGCATTCCCTACATCATTTCTTCACTAATGACTGCAACAGAGCAGTGTTCAGCACTCTCAGTTTACACAACACTTTCAGAGGTTCTTCCCTGGGGGGAAGCTGACAGAACCCCTGACAAAGTCCAGTTGCTTAACACTGCAGGAAACCACCCTCCTATTGTTACATCCAAATAAAACATAAACTCCTTTGGGTTCTTGCTTACCACTTTTTTACAGAATAGTATTTGACAGCCACACAGGAGCTGCACAGATGACAGCACGTGTAGAGAACTAATCCTGGTGTTTGTTCTCCCTGTAGGCAAAGCACAAGCAGAGGGTTAAAAATTGGTGAGATCTTATTAACTTTAACTTTAAGATGCACCCTGGTAAAAAGCAGGTCGAATCCATCAGGCAGGAGTATGACAGCAATGAGCTATGCAGATTTTTTCCTCTCAGCCTTGTCCATCCTTCACCCAAGACCTAAGTGATCCTGTTCTCTCCTTCTCCCCAGCCTTAGTTATGAATTCTTCTGTGCTTAGTTTTTTTCAGCCATTCATTCTTTTGTCCTGTTTTTGACCTTGTATTGCTTTGTCTGCTGCCTTTTTTGTGTGCTTTTTTATTAATTTTTGGCTTCCCCCAAGGCCTGACCACAGCCCAGCCCCTACACACCCTTTCTTGTGTGCTCCTTACAACCTTTCTCATCCCTGCATGCTTTACCAGCCCCTCCCTGCTCTCGGTTTTGCCTTCCAAATTCCGCTCTGGTTTTATCACCAGGATTTCTGTTGGTCCCGTGGATTGTGGTCCCAGGCACTGAAATCTCTTCAGTAGATCTGCAGAGCTGTGTGGGCAGAGCCCTGAGTACAGGGACAAAAACCAAAATGCAGGAGCTCCCTTGCTGGCCAGGCTTGTCCCTCATCTCCAAACAGAAATCACGTCAGAGCTGCCACAATGCAACAAAATCTGTGCTCCATTTCCTACCAGCTACAAGTAGGATTTCCTCTTCCCAAATCCCTGCCTCCTCATCCCAGCAGTGCTGACCTTAGCAATGGAAGTTTTTAGATGCAGGGAAAGACAAGAGCCAAGACAATATCAATATGGCACTTTTCTCTGACAAGCCTCTGCAATGCTTGTTGCTTTAAAACTCTTTTATCCCCTGGGCCTTCCACAGGTGCTCTCTCCTCACTGCTGCAACCTTCCCTTCCTGCTGCCTTAACAGAGGAACAGGAATTGGGTGGATTTGCCTACTTCATATTTGAAAAAAAAACAACTTTTCAGTCCTGCCCTTTTTTACTGTAGCTCTGATCTGTTTACATTTCAGTAAACTAAACACAGCTCTTCTGTAGCACTTGGCTTTTGGCCAGAAAGTCTGCAGTGAAGCTTCTTCCTCCTTCCTTGCTCGCTGTTTTTTCCTGCTGCCTGTGCTCTTAACTAAAGCAGCCCGGCCCAGCAGAGCCAGGCAGTGCTTAGTCCCACTTCTGTAGGTGGATTTAATCCAGGCAGTGCTTAGTCCCACTTCTGTAGGTGGATTTAATCCAGGCAGTGCTTAGTCCCACTTCTGTAGGTGGATTTAATCCAGGCAGTGCTTAGTCCCACTTCTGTAGGTGGATTTAATCCAGTTTACTTTCCAGGCTGCAGCCGATCGAATGCATCACGGAGGAGCCACGGGTGGGCTCCCCATTTATCCGCTGAGATCTCCTTCTTTACAAAACACCACTGAAGTCGTTGCCTTCTCATTGTCTGGTGTTCGTTTTTCAGAGGCAGCTTCTCAAATGTCCATTAGTACTTCACAACCCTCTTACAGGCCCCACTGAGCATCCTCAGCAAGCTTTTGAGGCTAAAAGCTGCAGTACAACACATAACATTATTTTGCACGTGCTCTTTTCTCACTCTTGGCTGTGCCTTTTCACTGAGTGAATGGACTTTCTGATGAATGCAGAAGTACTTCTTACTGCATTTTTTTTATTTTCCAAGCTCCTGTCATATCAAACTGCTTTATTCCTCTGGCATACTTATGGGTATGAAATAAACACCCTTAAGGGATATTTATGAAGGTAAAATTCAGTAATTTTAGTGGACACAGCTGAGAGAGAAGTAAAGGGTCTTGCCACCCCCATTCCCAATTCACAGGAGTGTTGTCCAGTGAAGCTGGAACAAGATCCATTAATTTCTCAGTGACCAGAGTAGGCTGTGGATCAAATCCCACACATGTACATCTTTTAAAATCTGCTAAAAATGGAAACTTTTTGTGCCAATCAACATGTTTGGTTTTGTTCCAGGTTCACTGTCTCCATGGAGGTGGTATCAGCCTGGGCCCCAGCAGTGGGGTTCACACTCCTGCCCCATGCAGGGGGATTTCTAGGAGGCACTATAACCAAAAAGGAAATCCCAACGTGGTATCAAACTCTGCAGAAGCCATCCTGGTGTCCACCTAACTGGGTGTTTGCTCCTGTGTGGGGAACTCTCTATACATCCATGGGGTATGTTTTTAAGGCACTTCACCTGATCTCAAAGTTCCTTACTGTGCAATGCCTGACCAGGGAATTATCACTGTACTCCTGTGGCTCTGTGTTTGTAAGAAACTGTGTCAAGCTGCCTGTTGGACGGGTAGAAACCTGTTTGGGGAGTTGTGTGTGGGTTTGATGGGACATTTTGTATGCACAGGCATCCACATCAAAAGCAGGAGGTTGAAAAGCTGCCACTAATTTGCTCTTCTCGTTCATTCTGAGGGAGAGACCTGCCAAGCTGCAGCACTGGGATTTCTTCTAAGTATGTCCTTCAGTAGTTTTAGGAAAATTAAAACCAAATAAATGTGAGGGGCAAGGAGGAAAATTAGGATAGAACTGTTCTAACAGAGCTCAATTAAAACAAACCAAAATCAAAACGTACATGTCCTCCCAAGTAAAACTTCCAGGCTGCTAAACTGTAAATGCTTGAAATCACACACTGTCTCCTTTAACTCGTTTAAAATACCTGACAGCACAGCAAGTGCTGTCAAATGAACAAGGAATCACAAGGCCAAGTACCATTCCCACAGGAACCATGAGAGATTAATAATACTGTATTTTGGCAGTGTGACTGTTACTTTTAATATGATGTAGCAAAAATATTTGTAGAGGTAGGTTGTCTCAGGAGTTTGGGAAGTTTTGATCCTCCTCCCTGCTCTAGAAGCACCAACACCACGTGCTTTGGTGTAAACTGTGCTGAGCTGTGCCTACCAAAGTTCATTATGTTTTTTCCTAGCTCTCAAACACACATGGTTGCTAACCCAGTAATAATTTTTGGGCTGTAATATGCCTTTTTTGGCTCACCCCACCCATTTCTCCCACCATTTTAAGTGACTTGTAGTTTGTGTATAGCACTGGGTTAACTATACAAACTCTCACAGAGACCAGATCTTCTCCCAGTGAACATTACACAGTCACCCTGCAGGTTATCTTAAATACCAGACCACCTGCTGCAAAACACATTCCATTGGAATCAGATCATTACTGTCCTGTGAATAAAAACATGCCTTTTATCAAAGAGACAAGAGCTGGGTGGCCTTCCCAGCTTCCTTCAAGGTGACTGCACAGTTTGAAACCCTGTTCCTGGATTCCTCATCATAAACCTGGGTATCAGCTTAAAAACCTTGGAAAAAAAAAATCCAAGTTGTCACAGCTTATCCCTTATTTTAGTGATAGCAGAATCAGTATGTCAGAAGGTGGATGGTCTCAGCTCTGTACTGTACATTTAGCTCAGTGAAAAGATCACACTTATTACCAGGCTTTTCTCCTGTAATCCACCATGCACACACACACACATTCCTTAAATGATCAGGACATTTCATTCCTTCAGAATTCCTTCTACTTAGGAGACTGTTAAGTTTCTAATGTTTACCCTGCCCCCTCCTTTCTTTTGCTTTTATTATTCTCTGCAATCAAACTGCCAAAATATCAAAGCTGCATTGTTCAGTCCCTATGAAAGTAATGGCCAAGAAGCAAGTTTGGGTCACTTAAGTGGGTTAAAAAAACAAACAAAAAAATCCTTCTTGTATAACCTACCAATGAAGACAAACTTCTTGCAATTACTCCTGTGGATGTTTGTCTGCTCCTGAAGAAATAATTCCTACAAGTTGGTCTCCATTGTTGCTCCACTGCCAGGAGAAATACAAATGAGCCCCGTGCTGTCCAGTTCAGTTCACAGCCTGTATCAGCTTCCAATTCTGAAACAATTCAGGATGGTGGCATTTTATCCAAGGGATTCTACTGTAGTTACCTGGAAAGGCTGTGCAGCCATTTGGACTGAAATCTAAGTCAAATGAGCAAAAGAAACAGTCTTAGCTGATGAATGTTCCCTGTTCTACTCAGGCTTCTTCAGTGCAAAAATAAACTTGACATTAGTAGAGCTCCCAAATCCTGGCTTTAGCAGCTTGTAAGGTCCCTCCAGTGAACTGTTCTTCTGTGGTATTAAAATCTGTTCAAAATCTTTTGGGAAGATCTTTCAGTAGCCAGGATCCTGCAGACAGGAGGGTGCTGGGTGCTCCTTGTGGTTAATTCCACAGCTCTCCTAACATCTTTGTTCTCCCCACCCTTGTCCCCTCCCTTCCAAAAAGTGACTGAAGGGTTCCTCCTGCTCTAATACCATTTCCCCATACTCAGCTGTGCCCTGGGATGCCACTCAGTTCCTATTTCTCCAACATTCATTTCATCCACTTAAAAACTTAAGTGGGTTGTGATTTTTTTATTAAATCTTTAAAGCACCATCTCCCAGGACCGAAATGAAGTTTCTTCACTATTTGCATCTTAAGACTTGCTTCCATCTCAACATTCTCTTTTGAGACTGAAATGCAGGAGGTCATCTCACCTAGAAGTGAGAACTCTGGCAGGACTGGGAATTTTTCTCTCTCCACGTTGTTATCCAAAGCAGTTGGTCCACCCTGTGCTTTCAGTTGCTCTGCCAAGTAGTACCTGTATATGTACTTTTTCCAAATTAATCTACTATTAATCTCTTTCATTTGATCAAGAATGTGTGGTAGCTTTTCTAAGCAGTGCAGTGAATTCCACCTTCCCTTCTCTCCCTACAGATACGGCTCCTACCTGGTGTGGAAGGAACTGGGAGGCTTCAAGGAGAAGTCAGTGGTTCCCCTGGGTCTGTATGCAGGGCAGCTGGCACTAAACTGGGCATGGACCCCAGTGTTTTTTGGAGCTCACAAAATGGGATGGGTAGGTGGAAAACTAAAGTTTCTTAGTCAAAGGTTTCTACTCCTATTTGCAAGGTGCTCAGATGAAATGTTTGTGTCACAATCTTGAGCCTGAGTACAGAAAAAAAGGCTTGCAGAGGTTTTCTAAAATTCTCTTTAATGCATGCCAGCAGCCACCTGAGAGGATTTGCCTCTCTAGAGCATCCTTAGATGTGTGGATTTCAAGCAGCTCTTCCAGCCAATCTTTGGTAAAAGCTCTGGGTGACTAGAAAATGGAAACATTTATGCCTTACTACAATTCTCAGGCAAACAGCAGCAATAAGAAGCTTATTATTACAACATTATTCAGGTAATCAACACCCATTTGAGAAGAGACTCATTTTCTGCAGTTCTCTGAAAAAACTTGGCTCAAAAATAAAAAAAATAAAATATTTGCCTGGTTCTCTAGATGAGATGCTGTAACAGGGGAAGACTTTGCAATGCCCTTTTCCTACACCTGTTATATCATTTTATGAGTTGAACTGATTCTTAACTCAGCAGAGATCTGTTTTTTTATTTTGCTGACTGGTTTTCTGAGAAGGAATTAGCTCCCAGGGGGAGAGAGCCAGGTGGGAAGAACCACACAAAGACTGTGGAGTCAAGGAAATGCAACGAGGGAAAACAACACTGACCACCTTCTGTGTTCCAGGGCTTGGTGACTCTCCTGCTCACAACTGGGACAGCAACAGCTACAGCTGCTTCCTGGTACAACATCAACAGAACAGCAGCTTATTTGATGGTTCCTTATTTAGCCTGGCTCACCATGGCTTCTGCACTCAACTATCGGATCTGGAAGGACAATCCCAGCAAGAAAAAACCTGAATAACCAGTGTTTGGCCAGAAAGATTGGGGTTTTTTTCCACAATAATTTTTTTATACATAAAAGTTATGGCCTTATTTTATTTTTAGCTGAACTACTCACACCATTAGTTTGCTAATTACAAGCTGACAAAGCAGTACTTGTCAAAACAAATGTGCCTTTACCAGGCAAGTCACTGACTGGGTTTTACAGCAAACTAAAAAGTGGTGTTGATTTAAAAGTACTAATGCTACATTGTGACAGCATTATATTTTATATGACAGCAGCACTTTTAACTGTTCCCAGAAATAAGCAGGAACTCCATCATGTTCAGAGGAAGAAATCCAGCCACATACCAACCCAGCTTCCAGAAAGGTGCTCCCAACAGTGACAGGGATGACTGTGGCCTGAATCTCTCATGTTCACCACCAGGCACAGTCCCACTGCAGCTGCCAGATATTTGTCTTCTGGTCATTGTACTCTGGAAACATTGAAGACAAGCTTTTTTTAACAATTTGTGCCTTCCTACTCTGAAGCAAGGCACATCCTACTGTCAGCTGAATGCATTAAACTACGTGGAAAACTTACCTTGTTCCTTGCTTGTGTTGCTTTTAAATTGTTTGGAGCAGAAGGTAACAGGACTTTATCTTAAAGACAGCCCCTTTATCTCTTCTCCTCACCCTGCACTGGGCAAGACAAAATAGGAAACTCAGAGCACCTGTGAAGAAACTGTGAGGCCCCACCTTCCCCTTTAGATCCACAGGCACTTCCTTACATGTTTTCAGATCCTCTGAAGGCATGAAGTGCCTTTTGCTCTCCTACAAGTGACAAATACATCTGAATGTCTCCTTACATCCATCAGGATATCCTACATCACAGCCAAACCTTTTCCCTGCACTGGAGGCAGTCACACCACCTGTGCTTTAGCACTTCACCACGTTTCTTTAATCAAGTTTACTGGTCCAAAGCAGTCCTGATTCATGAGCAGGAGGCTCTGAGCATCACTTCTGGCTGTGCAATCCAATTTTCCTAAGTCCCAGATGGTTTATTTCTCCAGCCTGTGTTCCAGTCAGTGGGAAGAAGTGGGTTTCTGCAGACCAGCCTGAAAGAGCCTAAAATACCCCTTTCCCTTCCTGATCACAAGGGATAATGTGCTGCATATTCACAAAGTTTGGAGCAAGGCTTAGAACATTTCTACAATTTTATAACTATACTCTGCTCTCAAACACATCCTGATTGCTGCAAACTGGCTGAAATAATGACTATCCACCCAATATATATGTCCTGACAGCAGGATTTTTTTTGCAACCCTAAATTTCAGCCAGTTACTCTGATCTGAGGAAAGAAGACAGATTAGGGATAATTAATTTCAAGCTGACACCCCACTCCCAAACACCTCTTCCTTAGGGCCTAAACTTTGAATTCCAAAGACTGCTTGGGCTTCTAGGAGAGTTTTCCAAATCTTTTTCATTCCTTCAGGCTGCTTCTGCATTCCTGTGCTGCCCTTGGCACTGCCTCCTCCTTACTGACCCCTTCTCAAAAATCTGATTTTTTTAAAAGATGACAGCCAGCATCCTTAAAGGGTTCCTAAAACCTGTGGGTTTGGTTTGCCTCTTTTTAAATACAAAAAATGGGAAGACCCTTAAAATCTTTAGTCTCATTAAGCCTGTGTTCATTGCACACAAATACACTATTAGTTTCCCACCAGAACTTTTTGGATCCTTGTCTAGGAGGGATGGATAAGAAAGAGAGGTACAAATTCCAACATTATTCAGTAAATTAGTTTTAATGCTGACACAGGGAACTTGTGCAATGCTTCCCAGCAAGCAAGCAATCAGGCTACCTGAAAAACAAGTCCACTGCCCTAATTACTGTCCTGTTTTGAGGTCTCCCATATTCAATAAACAAGACACTTTTAACACACACCAATGATTTACAGAAAGAACAAAGGAAGCCAAGGGAAACGCAGACAACGTGATTATCAACACAGTATATGCTTATTCTTCTGATAATGTTTTTTTCCCTTGGTTATCAGTATAGGAAAATAGTTGCCTCAGCAGCTCATAGAACTGAAATATTTATCTTGCTGTTAAGCATATCTGAGAAGGACACTGATAGGAGTCGTGCCTCCTGTGGCTACACAATGCACGTCACGTGGCAGTTGTCGGGCTCGTCCAGGAACAGGGTGCTGAAGACATCGTTGAAAAAGGTGGGGTGGTATTTGCAGGCTCTGTCACAGTCAGGATTGAAGTTCACCTCCAAGATCTGAGGCTGCATGATTCTTTTCCCTGGGAAGGTGAACACAAACACTCCAACTTAATGAATACAAGCTCTAGAAAGATCCTGAATCACTACCTGTCTTGAATCCAGGGATTACAGAAGATGGCTGGGAAAAGCCATCTCTTATGACCCAAACTGGGTTGGTTTTGTTTCAGTGGGTTTGGCTTTTACTGGAGGGACAGAGGTTTGTTCTCCCATCATTACCCAGAGGACAATCATCCAACAGATTCTGCAATCACTGCTAATCCAGTGCCTGATTTAGAATGAGAATTTGCAGCAATTTAACAGGATCTCCCTGATACATCTGCCTTGCTTGAAACAGCCTGAAACACATTCCAGAAAACTCTGCTTCTCCTTGCATGGCTCAAGTACACACCTTCCTTTCTTTAACCTCCTGGATATCCAGCAGTCCTACTCCTTTACACTGCAGCCACTCACATTTGTTTGGCTTTTTTGTGTATGTGTGTGGTGGCTTGTTTGGGTTCTTTTGTTTGGTTTTCCCCCCTCCCCAGGTTGTTTTGTTTCGTTTTCCTCCAAACAGAGAACAGGAGCAGCAGGGGCACAAAGGAAGCAAGGAGGCAGCCAAGAACTTGACAGAATAAAGAATTCAACATTCAAATAAATGAGCTTCTCACCATCTCTGCTGGCGTCCCATTTAAGCATCAAGTCAATGGCATATATTGCTCTTGATGAGGGATAATCACAGATGCCAAGAGGTGCAGGTTTAGCTGAAGCAACTTGGAACAATTCAGCAAATGCCTT